AAGAAAGAAAGAAAGAAAGAAAGAAAGAAAGAAAGAAAGAAAGAAAGAAAGAAAGAAAGAAAGAAAGAACTAGGGGTTGATGTCTGACCGAGGTAACCTGGAGAAAGCAAGCAAAGCATTTTTATTTGGGTTGTTTTTTTTTTTAAAGGAACTCATCGGGTCAAAAGCTTATTTCTGTTATAAAATACTCTCTTGCAAAACAAGTGTTTCGAACATCAAAAGCCTGGTCATTTGGGAGAACTTTCATTTTAGATTGGAGGGGGGGAGGGGAGGAGGCAGAAAAAAGAAAAAACCCACCTCTCAACAATGTTATTTCTGTTATAATGGGGAAGACGTACCTTCTAGCCATTTCCTCATCCGATACATCAGCTTCCTTCGCATTCATTTCCTCCCCAGTGTCTTCTGTCTTGTGCCTCGAGTTCATCTGGACCATTAACTTCTGAAAATCAAAAAAAACCAAAAACCCTGGAATATCACTTTAGGTATTATGTTCCTTGAAAAAAAAAAAAAAGTCAAGGAGACCAATTTGGCAAGAATGAGGGAGATGAATAGACAAGCAAAGCAAACATTTAAGTACCTCAGTATTTTCTTTCCAGCTGAAAGATCCCAGGGCCAAGTTTGATATCACACTGACCCTTGGAGAATATTATTATGGCTAACTGCTCAGTTGTAGCATCTTTCTTTGTGGCTTATAGCCCACGAAGGCTCTCCGGTCCACAGATGCTCATACCCCAAGAAGAATGCCACGAAAATGTTATTTCTGGCATTGTTAAAAATATGTTAATCTTGACGGATCAAGATGAAAACAGCTCTTGAGATTTTTTCTTTTCCACAGACGAAGCAGAAATTAAAGTTTCTTATCATATTCTATTTGTTAACCGGTCAATTGATGGCAGAATGTAAGACACTAAGAGTCGCTATCCGGAGGTATTGCTGTAATTCAACTCTCTGGTTAAATTCTAAACAGATCGGTGCTTCAAATATTTCATGTGGAGCCCAAACTCAGAAAATGGTTAATTCAGGAACCAGGTTAAGCATGTTGTATGAATGCGACTGGACTGGAGGAGGTGCTTCTGAGCTACTCATGAATGCTCTCTTGCTTTTATACGTAGTGAATTCATCAGAACCAAAAGTAACAACCACCCATCCAATCTATACACACACACACATATATATATATCATCCCTCCTATCATCCATTCACCCATCCATTTTATGTATGAATGTATCCATCCATCCACCATCCATCCATCCTATGTATCTATCATCTCTCCCACCCTCAAATGTATCTATCATCCATTCATTCATCCACCCGCCCATCCATTGTATGAATGTATCTAACATCCATCCATCCGTCCATCCAATCATCATACTGCATATATATCATCCCTCCTATCATCAATTCACCTACCCACTTTATGTATGAATGTATCCATCCATCCATCCATTGTATGTAAGAATATATCCCTCCATCCCTCCCTCCAATGTATCTATGATCCATTCATTCATCCATCCACCCATCCATTGTATGTATGAATGTATCTATCATCCATCCATCCATCCATCCATCCATCCATCCATCCATCCATCCATCTATCCATCCAGTTATTTCAATATGGTACAAACTGGATCAGGGATTTCACTGATCTTGAACCGCCTTAGCAAGCCAGATCCCCAAGAGGATGAATGAACGCTACAGGCCCCAAAAGAATAATAATACCTCGACTTCAGGATTGAACCCTTTGAAGGACATTCTGCCATACAAAAGATCTTCACACATCGCGAAACTTCTTTCCTCTATGATGAGGCTCCTGTGAAGAAATCATTGTTTTAAAAAAAGGATCGAGCAAGCAAGTTGAGGTTAGCCAGTCTCTTGGCAGGAAACATATATATATATATAAAAAAAAACCCACTCCAGATTGATTTTCAATTGGAGAAGGCAGCGCTTGTTTTTGGTTTTGTTTTGAAGTTGTGGGTGATCCATCACTGGAGGCTTTTAAGAAGAGACAGGACAGCCGTTTGTCTGTAATAGTATGGGGTCTCCTTGATCAGGGGGCTGGACTAGAAGACCTCCAAGGTCCCTTCCAATGCTGTTATTCTGTTAATTCTGCTTTTTATCTTCTCATCTCCTTTCACACCTGCAAAGACTAAAAGGCAGCCAACTTACTCTTTTTCTTTCAGTTCCGGTCGATCCAGAAACCAATGTTCTTCGCTGATTATTTTCTTCTCCTCTTCCTCAAGTTGCTTTTTGGTCTCTGAATCCAAGCCCCTTTGCATGAACTGAAAGACAAGATTTTCAAGGCACCTCGTTTTTTTTTAAAAAAATCATTTATTAAATTTGCACGCTGCCCGTCTTACCATCAAGCGACTTTGTGGGAGCTTAGCTTACAAACTTAGACTTACAAACAGTCACTAAGAAAGGATTTTTCGAAATGACCACCTGAGCATTAGGATTTCCTATATTATTATTAACTGATGCTAAGGAGTTCTACTCCCCCTCCCCACCTGGAAAGAAATCTGTTCCAAATGCAAAACACAAACAGAGGAGTTTCAGCTTCAGTTTTACTTTCACAGCAGCAACCAGCTTTAGTACAGAACAGTTGAGCTAAGCCACGCCCAGGCTACTTGCTGTCTCCTTCTTACTCACACAGCAAATACTGCTTCAGTTTCCAAACAGCCCTCAACTCTCTCACACACTGACAGGACCCTAGCCAGATGAATACTGATGGTTGCTGGTATGCAGAGACACAATTCCCCCCCTCCTGTTATTTATCTCCCCAAAAACTAAGCCCGACCACATAGTTTTGTAGCGAAGCACGGTTATTATAGCCGTTAACAGTGGCTATAATCACCTGAATAAGATTTAAGCATGCAAAAACACCTTGCAATAAAACTTATGTCGCTTCCGATTTGAACAGCTGCTAGGCAAAAGGATTAAGAGAGAGAAAAAGAAAAAGATCATAACAAATGATGATTTATTTGTGTTTCCAGGAGGGAGCTTAATCTGGGGCAAGGAAGAGACGGCCTAGCAAGCTGTGGAAAAGGAAAGGCTGCCCCAGTGAATGCTCCCATCCAGGTGTGTTGCAACCGCAGCTCAGCGCCGCGACTGCCTCTGACTTTTGACACAAGGTGCCATTTGCAGGGAAAGGAGCCGCCGGCGAGAAATCAGCAGCCGGAGGAAGAAGCCGGCACGGAGCAGAAGGCTACTGGTTCATTTTCATATCATTTGCATACTGGCTGGATTTGAAAAACAGACAGTCGCTCCTGCTGCCCTAGCCAATTTCTTATGATTTATCAGTTGTTTGAAGCTTCTGATTAATGATTGCAACCACGGTTTATGACCTATGACCTGGGACTGGCTGTTTGGATGTGCACTGTGAGTTTGTGCACCAGAGACAAATTTCTTGTGTGTCTGATTATACTTGGCCAATAAAGAATTCAATTCAATTCTATTCTCATGGTTCTCTTCTCTTCAAATCTATTGTTCTGTTCTCCTCTATCCTATTCTCATGGTTCTCTTCTCTTCTCTTCTCTTCTCTCCTCTCCTCTCCTCTCCTCTCCTCTCCTCTCCAGAAGACCCATTGATCCGACAGAAGGAGATTCACTTCCTGTTCTGACCCAGGCTTCGTCAAACGTATTTAAACACAAACTTGTTTTAAAAGCAAAACCTCTTTTATTGCAACGCTGGGAATTATTTTCATTCCCAGCCAGATCTTATCTTAAACAGTTCCCCAAGATAAGCACACACCTTTCAGTGCTGTGGAATGCTGCCAAAAACAGAAGTATCCAATTATAACAGAAACCAACCGAAGTACCAGAAAAAAACCAACCAGAGCTTCAGGAAGGACTCGGAATCTATCGAACTACTTTGCTTCCTGCAAAGCTATTCGTCATTGAGGTCTGACTTTTATCCCTTATGGGAGGGGCAATCACCTCCCAGCCTTACTCCCGAGTCACCCCTTCTGCTTCAGCTGCTCTCGCCTTCTAGCAGCTCTGTGCACACGCGCACTGGGAACAGGCTCCCCTGGGTCTTCTGCCTCGCTGCTGCCGGATTCCGAAGGCTCCAAAGGCAGCACCCCACTCCCAGATGGTCCTGGCCCCATCCCTGCATCGGACTCAGGGCCCTCGTCCGAGTCCTCTCCAGACTCCTGACTGGCTCCCTTTCGTCCTCACTGTCCGACTCCGCTGCCGTCTACACCGGTTGCCGGCGAACTAGAACCCTTCCATGGAAAAGGGATTAGGGCTGCAATCCTGAACAAATCCCTCCGAGAGGGCTAATTCTGAGCACTCAAGCCTCTCAACCTTTTATCAAACCTGTGGATCATATTGCAGAAAACCTGTTTTAAATCACCTGTCAGATCTCCGTCAAGTAAGTAACCTCTCAGGGATGACTTGAGAGGGGAAAGCAAAATAAATAAATGGCGGGGTTTATTTTTGTTTTTCTTAAATCCCGCTTGGCCTTTGTTTTTTCCTAACAACAACAACAATAATGAACTATACTTTAACGAATAAAAGTATAATAATACTACCCCACAACTTAATGGCAGCCTTAAAGGCGGAGATAAAAAAAGGGAATGGCTTTGACATCCACTTGAAGCAAACAAACCATGAAGGGCCGGCGATATTGAGTTATAAATATTTGACGAGTATTTATATTTTGAAAAATTAATGGCAATCCTGCTCAGATGTTCTTTTCCTGAAAGAAAAAAAAAAAAAAAAAAAAGCCAACGGAGCCATCATCCATCACAGCCCTGTCTTCGGCTGAATAATGTGTTCCATTATAGAACAGGAGTGGAGTTCATTAGGCACTGAACCAAGATTAATCCGGCTTTGAACTCGACACTGAATTCACATATCCAAGGACAACAGCCAGGTTGGGGTTTTATTAACACACCCCACTCAATAGCGCACCCCCAATAGCAACATGGCTGCATTGGTAAGTTGGAGAAGAGCGAAAGGTATACAGTCCTCGACATCCAAGAGTTTGCTTAGGAAGCTACAACAGTATCGAGAATAGGGACCGGCTCATGGGATGAACCCATGGATAATGTAAAACATCTGAATGAGGTTTGCGTGGGTTAGTTACAGGTACTTCTAGTATTGCTATTTCAGCTATTGCATTATCTTATTTATTTGTATCCCACCTTTATTATTTTTATAAATAAAGTGGCAAACGTATCTCACACACCTTCCTCTTCCTATTTTTCACAACAACAACCTTGCATGGGTTAGGCTGAGAGATGGTGACTGGCCCAAAATCACCCAATCGGTTTTCATGCCTAAAATGGGATTAGAACTCTCCATCTCCTGGTCATTGGCCCCAAATCACCCAATCAGCTTTTGTGCCTAAGTTGGAACTAGAAATCACCATCTCCTGGTGCCTAAGCCCTTAGAAAGTGTTACTACATTATTTAAATTATATTGCCTTTTAAATTCCTCGTTTTCATGCTTCCTTTTCTATTAGGTAAACAGATAAAAAGCAAAAACAAAGAGAAAGTTATACTTATTATACTAGAATGAAGGCTGAAGTGCAAATATATAAATTAAAGGTAAGCCAAACAGGAAAGTGGAAAAAAAAAAAGAAAAAATCCATTCTAATACTCTTATTTTTTAACCCCTCGAACTGCTAATTTCTACTTTAAAATTTTTTAAACTGCACCTTGGATCTCTGTGATTATTGCTCCTTGCTATGTGCATCATTTTAATTCCTTTTCAAACAGCTTTAGTCTCTTCTTCGCTGGCCCGGCTATGTAATTTCATGCTTTTTTGAACTGGAAGTCACCAAGAGTCATTCTTGCAAATTGCAGGGGGGCCCGTGCATGTACTACGCAAATAAATAAATAAGGAGCAAATGGAAAAAGCAGAAAGCGTGAAAGAGACTTCCAAAGACACAGAGAAATCGTGGGGGTTTTCCCTCCCAGCAAAAATTTTGGCCTAAACCAACAGCAGATCCAATTTAGCAAACTCTCCAACTACTTTGGGAGAAAAGACAAACTTGCAAAGTAAAACCCTTCAAAAGGGCTGTAAACTTCTTAAAAAGCAACCTGCAATGCTTAAAGCATTTTTTTTGGGGGGGCAACTTTGGACACTTTTAAGATTAGTGGACTTCAACTCCCAGAATTCCCTAGCCAGCAAAGCTGCCTGGGGAATCCTGGGAGTTGGAAGTCCACACATCTTAAAGAGCCCAAGGTTGAGAAACGCTGGCTTAAAGTGGTGCGTCCACCCCGTTGCATTCATTTGAGGCTGAAAAAAATAAAATGTTAATAATAAATAATAAAATGCAACATTGAAAAATAAAATGTTAAAATGTCCCCCTTTCTTGCAAAACTATGAGAGTATTGCAGGTTTGCAATCATGCACAGAGTGCTTTCCTTGCACCCTTAAGAAATCCAGGTGAGCAGAAGCTGATTTGGGGTGGAAACATTCTTTTCCTACAAGCATTTTTTGCCGAGAATCCAATTTAATTCCTTAAAAGATTTTTTAAAAGCATCATTTCTAGATCTGAGCATGCGCAGAAGGCGAAGGACTTCGCCACGCGTTCAACCCGAAGCGCCTCGGCTCCTTTCGAATCGTCTACGTCGTCTACGAGGCTCCTCGGTTTCCCTGCCCCGCCCACATCCGAAACTCTTCGGCCGCATTCGGCGCCACGCCTCTCGGCTCCAATTGGCGGCTCTTCCCACGTTCGTGGCCAGCCGAAGCCAATCGGGTTTGCCTTCGTTTGCCGCCGAGAACGGTTCGGAAAGAGTCGCGGTGGCCCCTCCCTTTTCCGAAGGCTTTCGCCTCCGCTCGCACGAGCGAAAACCTTCAGACGGACGATTCTTACCTTCATGCGGAGAAGGTTTTTGGATAGTTTGCTCTTCACGTCCCGAGCCATGGCGAGGCAGAGCCGAAATCCTCCTCCTCAAAGCGCAGCGACTTTTACGGGTTTCTGTCGCTCACCGGGCCGCGCTCCCTCGTCGTGAAATCGCCACTTTTGTGGTGGTGACTAAGCATGCGCGTTGGCTCGCGCATGCACAGTAGTCCCCTCTGATGCCTCCCTCCTGGCTCATGCCCTTACTTTCTTTCCCTTGGAAGTCAAGGGCGACAGACCTTTTCAAAAATAAAAATAAAAGCAAAGCATGTAAATGCAGAGTGACGAAATGAAAAATGTTCCTGAGGGGAGAAAGGGGATTCAAAAAAAAAAAAAAAAGTTTGCAAGAAAGAGAGTCACAACTGGCACATATGGAGCACACTCAGGTATATCCAAGTGATGACCAATTCATGTCCATCTGTAGGGAGTTAGCACCCACCCCTCTCCTAGAAAAATGAAATACCCTAGGAAACATTAAAAAGGCAGAATATTTCCCCTAAAAGGGAAGTAGAATCTCAGAGAGGCAGAGGCTCACCCCCATCTTTGTGGGCCGTTAAGGCCTGGGCCAGAGTATTCTACATAACAAAGGCCTCTACCCGTCTCACCTGGAAAGATTGCATCTTGCTCCTTCTCCTCCTTCACCCAACATCTCGAAGTATGTGATCGTCCTTTTCACTCTGTAGCTCCAAGGCATGGGATCCTGTCCACCATTAAACCATCTTTCCAAACAGCCTCCATGTTTCCAGTGTCTTTTTTCCCCACTTGGAACTGAACGCGGAAGGATATTTCTTCCAACACATCTTTATGAGCTGCACACGGAACGTCATAAATGCCAGATGAAGAAAAATTGAAAAAAAAAACAAAGACAAGTATTCCTCGATTTACAACAGTTCATTTGAAAGTTACAGCGGCACTGCAAAATGTGGCTTACGCCCGTTTTTCATAGTTGAGACCTTTCTGGCCTCCCCATGGTCAGGTGATCAAAATTTGGATGTTTGGCAACTGACTCATACTTACAACCTTGTCCCGTGATCCCCTTTTGCAACCAGCTGATGAGCAAAGTCGAGGGAGAAAGCCAGATTCACGTAACCACTCTGTGATGATCCGGGGCGTGGCACAAAGGCAACACAGTCAGATAAGCAAAAAGAGCCCCTTTATTAGCTCCAACTTTGCCCCCAATGTCCTGGTTACCTTGTGGCTGGAGAAAAACTCTCCCAGGAACAGCCTTTGACTGCAGAGAATGAAGTCCAAAATATGGTCAACACAAACTAACTTTAAATCCAATCCAGCCAAACTGAAGTAATTAGCTTGGCAGGGCAGGAGCAAGAAAGCACGACAAAACTCACGTAGTTGGGAAGATGCCAGGAACACAGATAAGTGACAACAACACAGGATAAAGTCACATTTGCTCCCAGCAACCTGCCGCAACACAGCCTGTCTTTCTTATCAACTTTCTTCCCAGCTGTGGCTTAATGAAGAGAATCAGGGCCCTTTCCTCCCCCGCAAGCCATGCAACCCACGTTGCTCCCTTCTCTGTTCCTCCCTGCTTGCTCTAGGAGGAAGAAGGGGTGGGCCTGGGTCTTCCTCTGAACTCCCTCTCCATCTATCTATCTATCTATCTATCTATCTATCTATCTATCTATCTATCTATCTATCTATCTATTTATTCAAGCAATTATAAGATAACAGGTATAAGTATAAACATAGTTATGAATATATGAAATGGATACATATAAGAAAAATAAAAAGAAACAATAGGACAGGGATCCCTTGTTCTACCTCTTCCCTGCTCTGCCCAGCTGGACTTTGCCTTTCCCCAGCCTCCTCCACAGCCAGTGGAGCCACACTCCCATTCCCTGTCAGCTGTCCAGCTTCCTCCTCGGATTCAGGGGCATGACACAATGTCAACTTGTAAAACATTCCTACACTTGTTTCCAAGTTGTCATAAGAAAGCGGGGGGGGGGGGGTATTGGTTCTCAGACTGGAGAAGCATACGTCAAATAAACTTAGAAACCTTATCTTTAAAAAGATAGTTGCTAAGCTACCGGAGCTTTTTCCCACAATTTTTTTTTTTAAATTGGAGAACGTGATAGATGACACCTAGTCCTTGCATGTGCTTAATTGGAGAAACTGATTCACGGCACACCCGGGGGTTGGGGGGAAGCAGGCTCACGGGTGACTGTAATTACGTACGCCAGAATCGGCTTCACACAGGTCACGCCAGTATGCCGCTCCTAATGAATTCTTTGAAGTTTTTTGAAGTTTGGCTCAAGGCTCATGATTAGAGTGGTAGCTGGAATCCTGATAGCAAGCCAATTCTGGCATGAGGATGAAAAAACGATGGTGCCCTATACCACCCCTCACCAAGTTTTAAATGGCCCCAAACTCTGTTCCAAAAAGATTGAAATGTTTGGATATTTTTTTCAGGTGTTGGGTTGGGATGAAGGGTGATACAATGGTGTGTGTGTGGAGCGACTGACCTTGGGTGGCAGGGAGAAGTGATGGTAACCTAGGGATAGATCAGATTAAGAGACAGCCTAGCCCTGTATCACAGACAGAGAAGGAAATTCAGAATAACTTCTCAGGCTGTTAAAAGAGACAGCAGGAGATTTGCACTTTCAGACTTGCAAGATTGAGTTAAGGCAGCTTTACAGTAAAGTAGAATGAGCTCACCTGGCCCCGTTTCCTATCTGGTCTATTTCTGAAGGCTGGCAATATGTTGATAGGATTTTAGTATGTTTGTGGATCTCAACCATAGTATGTTTGTGGATCTCAACAATAGTTTTGCAGTTACATTTACTTGAATTTTGGTTTTTGTATAGTTATGGTTTTCATTATTGTTAGTTGTCCAGAGTTGGACACGATAAAAAGCACAGTCATCCTGTAGATGAAGGAATGACCCCTGCCTGGATAAATGGCCTTTGTTTATTTTCTTTTGCTCTTTGCTTCCTTCTTCTTTTTTCTCCCTCTTTTTGTCAAGGGTTCCTTTTCGAATTTAAGAGTTCTTTCTTTCAGTTTTGTTTCAGACAATCTGGAAGCGTTCAGGTCGTTCAAGGATATTGCGCAAGTAATAATCCCAAGACATATTAAAAAAGGGGGGAGTGGGAAATGACAATTTGTTTCAGTCTGAGACTATTTTAATTCCTAGCCATCTTTCCGGGGAGGGATCCTAAGCTGGGAAAAAAGTGGATATGTTTTGACCTTAAGACTGAGGACAATCCAGAATTCAACCCCAACGGCTTTGCAATTTCTAAAGTGAATACACTGCGCTTGTCACTTTAATAAACATTGGTGCTGCAGGCTTATTTCAGAGTGATGGAAGCTTCTAAAGTTTATAGGTTATTTTAAGTATTTCCCCCCCTGAAGGAATAGAGGCTGATTGATTAAATTGTCATTTTTTTTCTGTCTCACTTTTTTTTTTTGGTTGCACTCGTGCGTTGTTGTTTTTTTACCATAGTCGCTGAAATATATATATATCATATCCTGGTATTTTTAACCATGCAGTTTGTTTTTTAAAAAAGACAGCTTTGGTGAAAATAAGTCAAGGGAGAATTTTTAACTGGAGGATTACAAGACAAAAAAAGAAAAAGAAAGCAATCCAGTCCAAGCTCTGGGTAAGGATTTTTCTTTATGCTATTATCTAGTGCAGTGGTCGCCACTGGTGGTCTGTGAGAAAATTTTGGTGGTCCACAGAGAAATGTCACTCTCAAAGCAATTAATCCAAGCTGTGCAGGAACACAAGGCTGCACTGCCCACATGGCCCGTGGGAACACAAGGCTTGTGTCGTTTGCATTGTGAACAACATATGATAAAAAAATGAATATAGAAACAATTAAAACCTGATAACACCACTCAAAACTGTAATCCTTCCATCGTCCTGATAGTGTGCAATTTCTCTGGATTGGACCCTCATCAAAAATGCAAGCATTTAATAGAATAGAATAGAATAGAATAGAATAGAATAGAATAGAACAGAATAGAACAGAATAGAATTCTTTATTGGCCAAGTGTGATTGGACACACAAGAAATTTGTCTCCAGTGCATAAGCTCTCAGTGTACATAAAAGTTATAAGTGATAAATCATGATCATAGTCATCATAAAAATACATTCATCATGAATCATAAGATACAACACTTCATGATAGTCATATACTAAATAAGCAATCAATATAAATCGTACTAGGAAACTAAATAAAACAATATAAATCATAAAGATGCAAGCAACAAAGTTATATTCATAAGTAGAAAAGGAGATAGTCAAATAGGAAAAATGAGAAGAATAATAGTAATGCAGCCTTACTAAATAGTTTGACAACCTTGTGGGAATTAGATGTTTAGCAGAGTGATAGAATGGGGGGAAAACCATCGTTTTGTCTAGTTGTTCTGCTATTCAGTGCCTTATAGCGTCGTTTTGAAAGTAGAAGTTGAAACAATTTATGTCCAGGATGTGAGGGGGTCTGTAGATAGTTTCACAGCCCTCTTTTTGACAGTTCATCTACCCAAAAGAGGTACCCCCAAAAGGCGTTCAAAGTTTAACTAAGTTGCCTGAGCTATTTTACCGAGCACCAATTCTTCCTGTTTTTCTAAGCTTCTACTGTGGGGGAAAAAAATTGATTGGATGTTGCACTACACGGCGTTACTAAATGTGAAAACTACTGCAGCGAGACACTATGATGGATCACAGCTCAGATCTGTCATGGCAAATCCTGTAGCTGCTAACGCTTGGTTAGTTAGAGACTCTGGAAATTGCAGCCAGTCTGGGGTTCTTATTTGGGGGAGGGGTGACAGGGAAGGGGGTTTATTCTTTAAAAGAAGCAACTTCTAATCAACTTAATGGATTTTTCTCTCCTCCCCTGTGTATGTATTAGTGATTGTATTGCCATAAACAGCAAAACTAACTGAAGGTTAGCTTTCATTAAGCAGTGACAGAACGCTTTTCTGTACTTCTGGGATGATAATGAGGGTATTGTTGGAAAATTGGACGAAAAGTACAAATTAATGGATATCAGAGTGTGGCATGAATATATTTATTGCTCTTGTGTTTTGGCGGTTGGTTGTCTTGAGCACTGAACCTTGCTAGCCACTCAGCGTTGGTAGGTTGTGAGTTGGGAGAGCATTGTCACTTGGTGA